AACCTTAACTTAACGTTTACCTTTACGTTTACGTTTACGTTTACGTTTTACGTTTACGTTTACGTTACGTTACGTTACTTACGTTACTTACTTACTTACTTACTTACTTACTTACTTACTACTACTACTACTACTCTCTCTCTCTCTCTCTCTCTCTCTCTCTCTCTCTCTCTCTCTCTCTCTCTCTCTCTCTTCCCCCCCCCCAAATAAATTAAGAAAGAAAGAGTGTGAGCATCAACTTGTTGTAAATCGTCATTGTGCAGCCAGGATCTACTGAGCACTTGCCTAGATGATTATTGGGCTGCTTATGACAGAACATGGTGAGTTTGTTTCATTTAGTTATGTAGTCTACAGTTATGCGGGAATTCTTATGAATGCAAATTGAGGTATAAAACTTGTTGAAGAATCAAATTCAACTTTTAATTATTTTGTCATGCTGTGTCTTTTCTAATTATTGTTACTGAATGTTATAATTTACAGCTGTGGATATTTCAAAGAATTTCATGTTGTACTGATAAAAAGTATCACAAATCGATTGTAAATCATTTTCCCTCTGAGGAAAGAGAGTTGGCAATCTTGTGCAAGCATTTAAGTTAGCTTTTGTAACTCATATCTTTATACTCATATTTCATTTCTTATTTTCTTGTCATTTTATTACGTACACGATAAAATATCAATAATTTCCAATGAAACAGCTACCAGCCCGAGTCTTCTGCTGTTTTTCCAGAGCTACTGTCAACTTCAAGAGATGAGATCTTAGATTATGAACCCATGTCAGGCGAGGAGAAAGTAAGCCAACGAATGGAGGTTCCATTGATGAAAGGACTCACTGCATATTCATATCCTCAATGTAAATCTCAATTCAGCAAGGTATTCCCCCAAGACCTCAATGTTTCTCCTTGTTATCAATCTACGTCTGTCTCTCTCTCTCTCTCTCTCTCTATATATATATATATATATATATATAGAGAGAGAGAGAGAGAGAGAGAGAGACACACACACAATATATGCACATACATATATGTATATGTCCATGTGTGTGCTTTTTCCTTCATGGTACCATATAGAATTTCTGTAGCTTCACCATTGCATCTGTTCTCACTATTTTTTTCTTTCGGTGGATGAATTTCAATTTCATGTTCAGAAATTCACCATACAACCATGTTCAAATGCATTTGTTAGTAGTTTGGGTGGTTTATCAACATATATCAATTTCCCTGTGCATTCTTTATGTTCTATGGGCTTGTCATTTATTGCTTTTCTGTTATAGTAGTGCCTTTTGTTTTTCTAGATGTGTAATTTTCTTCGGAATTTTAGTCTACCATTTCAGATGGCACGGAACCAGTGACTCTTGAGAGACTTGCCCGTGTTCAAAAAACTATTCCGGTTCGTGAAAGCATGATGAGAAAAACTGGCAAAAAGATGATATCTGCGAGCATTGTAAGATTACCCATCTCTCTCTCTCTC